TTTTTAATAGGATTCTACATATTACTGTCTTGAGCTTGACCCTGTTGGTAATAACCGAAAGTTACTACCGCTGTTGACTGCCTAATATTTTGTATAGATTCAGTCAATGGCTTCACAGAAACATAGAAAATAGCAATGTGAGGGATATTGGAAAAGAGCTAGTCCATCCTCCTATCAGTAACAGAATCAGCTATCTAAACTGTTCCCAATGGCTACCACATCCTTAAATCTCTGAAAGGAAATTTTAGAACCTTCCTAAGCAAATTCATTCAGTGTCTTCAGTGTTAGGAAGCTTTTTTTCAAATATTTGATCTTACATTTTGCTTGCTTCAGTTTAGACCTTTTGTTCTTGTCCTGTCTGTGGTGGAAATAGGGAGCAAAGTATTCCTTTCCTACTTGCAAAATCCTTTTATATATCTTGGAACAGTTACTATGGCTCCCCTCAAGTACTGAGCATTCCTCAGTGTAACAGAGTAGTCTAACTAGACAGGTACCAAAATCAGCACTGGGAGTTTTGACTGGTCTCCACAGATTTGAAGTGCTAATTTAATGGTTCTGGGAACTGAGCAGCTTCCTTAGCAATAGGGTTCTACCTCAAAGTTAGATGAGGCATAGATGTAAAGGCCAGTATGGAAATGCTGCCGTATGATGGTTACAAGCATTGTGGCTTTTGGGAAGAGCTCATTCTCCATGATTATCAGTACAGGATTATTTTGCAGAACTTGTTACTGGATGCCTCTTTTACTGGAGTTTAATTTAGTAATACCAAATTTTGGAGCAGAAATGTTTAAATATTTCTAGCATGGCGTCATAGTATTTTATACGTGCTGTAAATAGAGATTAGAATCTACTACTCCACACACCGTCTTGATTTTCTTGGACACAGAAATTACATGCAGATTAGATGCTGAGGCTCTGGCTTTCTGGGGTATGCTGTATGTACTACGTCTATGTTTCACAAATGACCTATGTACTTGCAGTCAGCCTGAAAGGCACTCGACATGCCCAGCTACTGCAGTACTGCTGATGAGCAGATCTGCATAAGAGCAGTAGCTACATGGGTATTTTTGTTAGCCTAGAAGCAGGAATTACTGAATACGAGAACAGCCATATTGTGCCAGACTAAAAACTGTCCTCTAAAATATTGTATCCCCAATAGTGAGCATAAAAGTATAGCAAAAGGAGAGAGCAAAAGAATGGAGTAACTTTATATTTGCTTAGAGTACTCTTCTAGACTCCAGCACAGAGAAGCTCAAGGACTTCCTGGGCTAAAATCGGTGTCTTGTATTAATAGACCTCAGTGGACAAGCTAAGACAACTATACAAAGCTCTCTAAGTCCTTTTTGGCAAAAAATATGGCAAATTTGGGGAAAATATAATATGTGTAAGTCTTAGCCTAATGCAAAATAGCTGTCACAGATGTGCTGAACAGTAGTGTGTTTTCTTACATCGGGTCCTTGCGTCACTGGCAATTTTCAGCAATGGTAATGCTATGCAATCTTCCACATGACATTTTTTATATGGTATTTTTTCACATGTGAACTTCAATCCTTACTACTTGGTATACACAGGACTTGGTGCTGGAAAGCTCAGGCTGTATTCTCTTCCGAGTATAATGAAAAAAACCTACATTACTACATTACTCTGACAAGACGTCCTGGACAAATGCTGCAAGACTGAAGGGAAAAAGATCACATTATTGCCACAGTGACTTAAAAAGTCAGTAGCCGTCTCCTTTGACTGTGAATAGAATTTGCTGCACATTCCACATCTCTACGCTTAGTCAGAGTCAAGTTTGGTGTGACTTTAAGAAGAGACACTAGAGCAGTTAGAAGGGTGAGGGCCCTACCTTTTCTTCTGGATAACTGACTTCCTCAGTCTGGAGGCCCAGGTGTTCACTTACAGCTTGATGATGGCTTTCAGAATGAATATAGGCTGAACCTGGCTGCAGGATTCTGTATCAAAGCACTCCAACTGCCCTGTCACTGCACCTCCCAATTATTACAGAAATGTAATAATTACGTCTATTAGTAAGACTTTTATCTCACACTATATCATTCATCTCTGAGCATTTAACAATCAATTAAATAAATGAATGAATTACCTCTTATCCGTCTCTGTCAAGCAGAGGACACGATGCTCATTTAATAGGATAAGCAGGGCCATATCTCTTCTTTTAAAGCTGGAATCTTTTTAGCAAAGCAAAATAGTAACCCATATTTATGAACATAAACTTTATGTTGTATCAGTAGTGCTCAGTAAGTCAGACTGGCTGACCATAAGGAAGAGACAGAGACTGACCCCCCCTTTAACAAGATTGCTGATATCTCTATTCTATTTCATCACTGAAATAAGATCCAGTGAAAGACCAGCACAGGCCGTGTACTGGCTACCAGTTGAGGAAAGCAATCAATCAAGATCGTAAAGAACAATAACAACATAATATCTTTTCCTTCTGTCCCCTAGTTCTTGAGTAAACCTTGAAAAGGAAAAGCACAAGCATGATACATTTTAATTAATTTGTAACATTTGTTGTGCGTGGGGGTTGTTTAAAAGCAAAGCTATCATCAGAATGCACAATTAGCTTTTGAACCTATATTTGCATGTTTAATATTAAGTATATGGGTAGTTTCAGAGGAGCCAATGGTTATAAAAAGCACAATACCATCAATTGGTCTATGAATCACATTCTATATGGAACCAAAAATGAGAGTGGTATGTTTGTGGCAGTAACGACAGCATAGTGCAGTCATCAGCCAGGCAAGCTACCTCAGTGAACCATTTATCAGTCTTGCTGTTTGGGGCATATCTACACGCAAAAGAAGTAAGAATTAATAGAAAATTGCCATACAAACACTGGACAAGAAATATACTGCAAATAGGTAGTAGGGTAAGAGTAAGCTGAAAACTATGTTTTTCAAAAAGATTAAGTGAAGAGCGTATAGAGCTGGGGAAAAGAGAAACTACATTTTTCACTTTTTTAGTAAAAATTCTAAAATGCATCATATGAACACTTATGCTACGATTTTTATTTATTTTTTGGGTCTGCCATATTTCCTCCCACTCAGATACACCTCATTGAATAAGGTAAGTTTCTGCATGTTGTATATTGAATGGAATCTGTTTTTCATATTTAGAGCTAGATGAAAAGGTCAGATTCAGGTGTAGACCTGCATTTGGCCTTTTCCCAGACTTTTATGAAGACTTTTAACAGATGAAATGGTTAAAGAAGTTAGTTAGTTTAGCAATTAGTACACGAGTTCCATCATCAAAAAAAATTATTAAAAGCAAGCCACTGATTAATTTGAATGGCAAAATAGTATATCTGGAGCTTGGATGAATGGCTATGCTGAACTTTACATTTCAACAGTAATAAAAAACCTGCAATATCTTAATTCTTCATTTACTACTTTATTTCGAGATACACATAGAATATGAGTTTTGATGTAAATATAGGCTCTTTTTTTTCTCTCTCTGTAGTCTATTATCTATATACTATCGGTGCTCTACATATTTAGCATAGAATTATGCACTGAGGTACTCCACGTGCTTTTCTTCAGGTATTGTGTGGCTCAGCCTTGTATCTGGACAATGGAATGATCCAACATACATTTCTTATGTCACCACCAGCATATCCATTTATTCAATTGCATGAGTTAGTATTTTCCATTAGTGACACCAGTGTATACAATTTCATTAAAGGTTCTGATGAGGAGTTTCAGGAGTCCGAATTCTCTTCATTTAAACTGCAATAGCCTGGAGTGCTGCAGCAACCCAGGGTGCTGCAGTATAAATGTACTCCCTAATCAATTAATTGAGGCTCATTCAAGGTTCCCCTAATTTACCTTTCACAGTTACATACCCTCTTTATGTTGTTGGGGTGGGCAAAGGACATACAACATTTTTTATTCTGGGATGAGTGAATATAAAGACATCAGTCAGGTATTTGTGATTCACTGTGCTTCATTAGAAATTGAAAGTTCCAATGGTTAATACCAAAACTTATTCCCAGAAAGTTCCCAGACTGTTAAAACATGAGGTTCAAATATTCTGAGTGAGTAAATGCAACTATAAACAATAATATCTTAGGTTAAAACCCAATTTTTTTCATATTCCACTTCTTGCCCATCATGCATAGGAAACTGCCATTTTTTTGCCTATATTTGTCTGTTACTGGCAGTTGCACTGAAATTGCTTCAGCCAATGAGCTTTTTCTGAAAAAACTGAATCATTTTTTTCTGAATCAGTAATCACACCATGGCTAGTTGCAGCATAAAATGTGTGTTTGTATGTTATACTTTACTTTTCCTTCTCCAATGGCATAAGAAATTCTGTCCCACAGTCTAACTTAAGTGAATAATGACACTTGATACTTCAAAGCATGTGATGTCTTCCTGCATTAGTTTCAAGATCACTCCTTGAAGCAGTTATGACTGATTGTGTGAATATAGATGATCAGTTTCAGAAGAGGCCTGAATTACAAATTTGTGCTCGTACGCGGGTATTTTTATCTTACTAAAGCTTACTAACCTTTAGTGAACTTTATAACCTGAAACGTCTTGAGTGAAGTCTTATATAAAATGCAACTATTTGTCTTTATCTAAAGTTTACTCAAAAATGTGAGTACATGTTCTTCTTCCTAAAGCCCTTCATTCTTTCATCGAATGTGCTTGTTTTAAATTCATTGCTTTTTCCACTGTATAAACTAGGTGGACCTGAATACTTATGGGAAGAATTTAAAGCATTTGGTTGTTATTAGAGTGGAGATAGCTGACTCACACATGCAAAAAATTAAAGAAACTTTACAAATGTTCAAGTGATTTTTGTTTTGTTTTGGGGCTCTACAGCACCAAACCACATCCTGTAGTACAACAGATCTTTTCCCTTTTTGTTGTGCAGTATTTCAGGTTAATAAAACAAACAAGGAGAATATTCTCTATTCCCAGCATTTTATTATTTTTATTTAAATATAACATACTATACATTGTTGCTCAGTGATTTTTGTTTCCCTTTTCTTTTTCAAATCCCTCTCCCTGTTTTCCTTTTGCTCAGCAGTCTCTTCTGCTGAGGGTACCAGAAAACAGAGCTTACGATTTAGGATCCGTGATACTCTGGATAGACTATCTGCAGTTTGCTTCCAGCATAGTGGGTAGTATATTATGTCAGTTATGCAGGAATTATCAGTTTCTTCATGGATTTTTTATTTTGGTTAATTCTCAGAAATCACTATTCACATCGCAAATGGCTGCTCACGTTTTCCTTTTTTGGCCTCTGAGCAGCACAGTGTTTTCAGTCCTGAAACTGAATCAATCCTGTTTATGTATAATTGCTCCCCTGACCAAGTAATCTTGGTATTTCTGTCAAAAGGAACCTCATTTATACCCTAAATGTTCTTGGAGTGGTCATCCAATGCTACATTTGCCCAAGCAGACATTAAATGTTCACTGTGGGTGGTCCACTGTGTCTTGTCATTTTTAATTATCGAGTACAAATTTTAAACAACAGAAACTCCCTTTTATTATGGTGGTGAAGTTTTGCTAATCATCTACAATTACACTTCAAATCTGAAATTCTCATTTCCCTTTTTTGAAAAATCTCATTTGTTAAGAAGCAAGCTGGAGATAAAGTCCACGAAATATAACGTTAGCTATCAGCTAAAATGTGTCTCAAATGACTTTCTGGTTTTAAAATAGTTGACTTTATTTAAGGACAGGAAATACAATCTGACCATTTTGTATTTTATGGGAAAATTACTTTTTTGCTTTTTTAAAACAGCTAATATTTAAATAACAGATTAAGATTGAAGTGCTGGTTAAACATTGACTTAAATAAGTTATAGAAGATCCCAACAACATCAGCCTTTATAGAGGTTAAACATTCTCAAAAAGACACATTAAGCAAGGCTCTCCTTTGTACCAAAATACAGTTTCCAAACAATAAAAATAAAATCAACTTTTTCACAACAAGAAATATCGAAGATAAAACTGCAGCATCAATATAATCTCATAGTTATCACTTAAAGTATTTAGAACAAAATAATATTATACTACTTTTGTTTCTTACTACAGACACTGCAAAGGCTTATTTATTTATTTAGTGGAATACAATGTGAAGACAGTGGTACAAGTTGGTTGATGTACTGCTTTCTATTTACCTGCTCTAACAAAATGAATCTCAATATGGTTACACTGATGAGCTATCCAGAGCTCTCTAAAATTACAGAGTAAAGCAAAACATAAAACAAACCTTATGTACCTTTAATTGAACAGACTTCATATTATGCTTAACTTCGTTATACTGCACTTGCTCAAGTTAAGCCATGGGACTAGTAACACTTCATAACAATGTGCTGGATATTATGTATTTTGAGCCTTCAGTTACTATGATGGATATGAAAGGCATGCTAAAGCTGGACACCAGCACGGCTTTTTGGTTGGCTCTCATTTATAATATACATGTGAGTAATAATCTCTGATAAATGCATGAGAATGATTTTGGATCCTACCCCTCAGTCCTTATTTAGGTATTGCTCCCACTATATGCCGGTGACTCTACAAGCTGGTAACAAGGACAAATGGGTGTATTAACTAAGGAATACAGGACTGTGTTGCCTTCTCACTTACCTTTCAGAGCCCAAATTTTACACTTGGGCATTACATCCTGCTTAATTCTAACATTTGTGATTTCAGTGATTTTAACAGGGCTGCCCACATCTAGGTTCCAGCCCAATGCTTGCTGCAAGATCTCTCACTGACTGCAGTGTACTAGGTCTTAGAACCACACTGAAATCAAAGGCAGGTGAATATACGCACAGATGCATTGATACCCAAGTACAGATGTGGCCCCTTCTCTAAATTTCAAAACAGCAGAAAGACCCTTTGAACAAAGTATTTCTTGAAGTTTGTTCTTGAGTGCTGAAACCCTCTCCAACATAGAGACATCCAGTACCATAAATCCAAGCACTGCTTGTTTGGTCTTTTTGCTTAAGTGCAAGACAGTTTAGGAAAAAATGGATTATACACATTAAATTCTGCCTTTAAAGCCTTGTCCATTACCTATTCTCAGAGTACTTATGAGGTTTTGACATTTTAACCTAACAACCTCTGTGTGAAGTACAGAGAAAAAGGGAAAATAACAAAGAAGCAAATGAGGAAAACACTTCAAAATCGAAAAGATATTTAACATCCTATTAAATAAATAACTTAGAGAGAAATAAAAAGGAATGAAGTTAGAATATACAAGCAAACCATACTATCCGTTTTGTTAGAACAGTTTTACACTACTTTGCTTATGTTCCTTAATCCTATCCATTCTTCCACAAGGCTTCTCCAGAAACGTCTTTATTTGTGCCTATGATCCAAGTGCTTCCAGTAAATGCTTGCGTGTCTAACTGTTCATTGGATCATTAGGCTTGAATGAGTAATTAAGGTCTTTGATATGAGTTAGTATTCCATAAATAACTTTCCCCCCGAAGATCATTCAACAGATATTGTCTCTCGTCCCTTAAGTTCTAGCGCAGAGATAAAAAAGAAACATTGTTCACGCTGGCAACAGCTTTTATCCCATTTGCTCCAGCTTGTATCTTGATTATAACATATGACACCAAACTAATTAAACGTATTTCATGTGCCAGTAATGAGTATAAAACCCTTCGAAGGCTTCCCCTGCTCTCTTTTCAAACAAGCAAATGTCTGTACTATTTCTTTGCATTTAATGTCTGCACTATTTCTTTGCATTTATTCTTCAAGAGGATTACCAAATATTGTTGACAAAGAGCCTTTGGTTCAACTGCATTGATAAAACAGTTCCTTCATCTATGACATTACTACCATTGGAAGAAAGTGAGCTGAAGTGTTTTTCCTTCTTGTTTTCTGTCCTCTCTTTGTGGCTCCCCGTCCATTCAAGGCCACAAACATTTGCCTTCCATTGTGCTTCCAATTTAAGGATGCATATGTGTTATATCCATTTTCTTCTATTCTTTCCTTCAGTTTGCAATCACTGTTAAACTCTTTCTGTTGAAAGAGGGAAACAAATACATAAATTCAGAATATAAATAATGTTTCAGAGTTGCAGCATACTGAAGTTAAATAGCTTCTAAAATGTTTTGGATGATTTCAGTGTTTTATACAAGACATCCTTTTAGGATTCTACAATCCATTTACAGAAATATTTCACTGTGTCCGTAGCGTTTAAAGCAACAGCAGTTCCACTGTAAAAAGTGTAATCAATGAAAGATATAATCAATTATGCAGGATATAATTAAAGTAATAGAATGATATAATTCACTTTCAATTGAAATGAAACTCCTCTATGTTGGAATAGGGCAGTCATAAGGGCTCAAAGTATGAGGTAGCAATCTTGGAATCACTCATCATATTTCAGCTCTAACAACCCTTAAATATCTCAAACAAGATTATTAATACCATATGTTAAGTAAATCTGCACGGCGTAAGCCTACTTCTTATTGAAAGTAAGATCCTTTACACCACAGTGCCTTTGAAAAAGGGCCTTTTGAATGGGTACAAATCACTGTTGTGCTGTTCTTACAGTACTTGTGAGGCCCGTTTACTTTGCTGACCTCGAGAGGGCCTTAGCCTGAAAAAGGAATCAAATATTTGATTGATTATCAAATAATCAACCTTTATCTTCTTGAGAAAATCTTCACAGTAATCCTGTAAGCAATTTTGTTTACGGCACCAACGACTAAGGTTTTCTGTTTTTTCATGAGAATCAGTTGTCAGTTTATTTGGAAGGACATAAAATACAAGCATGTAGGAAGCATATGGGGGAGACTTTCTTTTTCTATGGTGTTAAATACACTTACACAGATCTGCATCTCTATAATGAAGACAAGAATGCTTGTTCTCACAAATAATTCCTATATAGGAAAGAATCGGTTTGACTAAGTTACTCATATTTCATTTAGAAAGTCTCTGAAAGTAGGACAGTTTCAACTATTTAAATAACTATGAAAAATTAGCATTTCTGCTGTTCCTGCATTTCAGAAAACAAGAAGTTATTTTACAGCTCACAGCCAGAAGCATGTCAGAATCGCAGTGTAATCTACCTAAGTACTTGTAGTATTTTTAAGATGTCTACTATGAACTTAGCAGAAATAATAATTAATGTCTACATAGTGTCTAAAAATGTCTAAATAATAAAATATTTTCCATGCTGCAGATAAGAATTCCAGGAGTATTTTAGATGATCCAAGTCTTTAGATACTCAGCTAATAAAGTTATAGAAAGTATCTATATTAATAATATGAACATTGTTCAGCTGACTGGCATTGTTTCAAAGTGGAACATGGAGGACAAAAAGAATCTTAAAAAAAAAAAATCTCCACTATTCATTTAAATTAGAATTTTTAATCCAGTTAATGGTCAGTATTTTGGTACAGTAAGAATTTTCATATTTTACTTAGTTTCTGTTAAGACCACAGAACACATACGTATATTTTCTTAATAGGATTGTATGTATCATTCAAGCTCAATTTGACTCCCAACATCCTCTTTAGTTTTGGAATTAGTAATCCATTGAAAAATGAATGTTAGGAAAAACACTGTGAAGGGAAGGTGCTCTCCAAAATGACTCTTAATACTCCTTGCATTCATTTTCTTCTATCTGCTAACACTTTACTTTGTTGAAGAAATCAAATAGCGAGTCTTCCTTTGCTCCCTCATCCTCACCGAAGTCAGTCAAATGGCAACGTATTTGATGAATATAGAAACCGTCTTACTTGGCTTGTTTTCCCAGATGCAGAATCACTCTGGAATCCAAACTTTTATCTCTATTCTTAGGTGATACAGAGAGAACAGATGGTGTTGTGACATGGTTAAAAAGTCTCATTGGCAGGGGCCTGAGTATCAGCCCAGGACTGCTTTTCTCATTTCAAACCAATTTCAGTATAATGCAGCACGAGTGTGTATTGCGCACATGCTTAAGAGTGTTTTTAAAATTTTTATTGGTTCTGCTTTTCATATCCATCTGCAAGCTGCCACACTGTAGCAAAATGAGTCTAACTGCAAGTCTTGAGAGGATGGGAAAAATAATAACAGAAGCATTCTCAAAATCTCTGAAGTATTATAGAATAGGTTTTGATACGTCATTATGTTGTGATTTTAGGATGTGAATATTGAAAAATTATCTCAGCTGGAATTAAAAAAAAGGCTTTCCACATTCGTATCCCCCTGTCAACACTATTCCTAATACACTGTGAATTACTGAATCTTATGACAGCAGTTTCCACCTATTGTACATGAAAATTGCCTTGCCTTCTTTTGTGTGTGTATAGAGTTGGGATGAACTTCCATGACACCAGCACTGGCAAACAACTTGGATAGAAAAACTTGTCTTAGGCTTTAGGGCAGATAGATAGTCACAAATGACTAAGTTAATGTAAGTTAATGGAATCGTTTCTGCAAAACCAACTGAGACACATGAATTTACTGTGGTGATTTATGCTAACACCTTCACATATGCCCAGGAGTATATGCACAATCAATGAATGAGGCTTAGTGGTGACTTACAGTACTTTGACAGCTACTCAGTATACCCTTATCCCTCTCAGTGATGCGGAACTGAGCAGTGATCATCCTGCTTTTCTGTCCTTTGTAATTTTAGAAAGTAAAATCAACATTTAGGGGGAAATTAAGAAATACTTCTCTATTCCAGTCTTTCTTTCGTTAATGCGCTTCCTTAATACGACTCGGGTGTTTAGGAGGTTTGAAGTAACCTTGTGAATGATAAATGACTAGCCGCAATACAGATGAGGGAAAACAAAGTTTATATAGTTTATATGAACTAAATCCACCCAGTATAAAAGCTTTCTTAAAAAAAAAAGGACCAGTGACTTCAACCCACCTGAGCATCAATTGATTCAGTCTCAGTGGTGAGTCTGGTAGTCTCAAACTGGCATTGCTTCATCATTTCCAGCAGAGGTAGCTTAGCTGCACTGCCTGAGACTAAACCCAGCGTCAATACCTATTTGTGAAGTGCTCCCACTAAGGCCTGTAGATGTTCTGAACACTGAGCAGTCAGAAGACTGGCTCATAATCTTTGTAAATGACTTGAACAAGTTTAGATTTATGCGGGCTCAAACTCACTGGAACTGGCAAAAGGCTGCAAAACCAGAAACCAAACTTAGCTGTAATACCAGATCAATCTGGTGTCCGTGCCATCGTGTGCATGTGTGAGTATAAAACAGAGTTCAGTAGTCTGATTTACTAGATCACGTTGCTTGCTATTAAAAATATTTGGATGGCTACTGTGTTTTTTACTGAAAAGATCAGTAAACCTAAACTTACACAAATACACATACATACGGATAGTTTTCAAATGATCCCAAAATTCTGCTCAACCGTAAGTCTATAGGCCTGCTGATATAAAACTCTCTGTTTTGCAGTACTCCCTGTAATCTTATGTGTTAATTAGTACAGTTCATGTATAGCTGACTACTCCGGAAATCTCTGTGCTCTCAGTCTGAGAATTTAGTGTGTCTGCTCCATCAGCTAAAGTTTACAAGTTTTGAGGTACTCCTCATCCCCTTCCCCCCCGCCAATTATTGATAAATGTGGCTTTACTGCAGAAAAAGGGGGAAAAGAGGCCTAAAGATTACATTTTGTAGGTCCTTCCCCATTGGCTATTACTTAATAGGAGACCTGCCTGGAGCACTCAGCATGCCAAACACCAGCAGCTGCCTGGGTATGGTAGGAGCCTAACAAACAATGGGGAGTTTGTAGAGAGGGGGGCTGCTGGTTTACCAAAGGATGAAATTTTGATGAACAGCTAATTTCAGCTCTAATTAGTAGTAATACGCAGATAAGTGAGCTTTTCGGTAGGTAAGAGAGGGGACTCTGCTGACTACTACAAACCATTTTAAAGGAAAAAAAGAATACTTACGGAGCCATAGACTTTTCCTTTTTTGTTCATGGCTAAATAATAGTTGCTTTTAATGGACTTAACTGCCACAACTCCAATTTCCACAGATGTTATCTCCAATATGCCTAAAAAAATAAAAATTGAGATATTTAATCTCAATCCCTTAAAGGATTTTTTCACCATAGAAAAAGAGTAATAAACCTGAAAAATACTGAACTTCTAATAAACTGACCAACAAACTTTAGCAACATTCTTCTGCAAAACATTACAAGAACATACACAAACATTGTTTTAATTAACATGTTTCCTTTGCTAACCCCGCATTTTAAACCCCATAAATACTGAAACAGCTCCATTCTTCTTAGCATAGATTTTACTAAAATTTATCAGAAGAGACATCTGAACCACAGCATTAAATTAAATCTATAGCATATGTCAATAGAATGTTAGATTTATCTCAGTCTTCAAAACCAGTGGTAAACTATTTATTCCTTGTAGGGCATTTAGATAAACTAAATCTCTTGGCTGAGTTGTGCTGATAAATTCATTTTTGGCAAGTGTGTTGACGTTTTGGGATATAGTAAGACTAACCCTAACGGCCACATTATCTTTGTCTTTCAGATATCAGAAACATTTTGCTCTGTTTGTAATAAATATGATTAAGCTTTTTTCTTGAAAACAAACTCCTTCTGGGATACTGGATGGCTCAAGGGGCCAGTAATGGGAGACAGAACTTTTCATCTCTGTTTTCAGTCCAAGTGCACAGTGCTTTGGGAGCAGTGGAAGTCATGACCACTTATAACTTATACAGTGACTTTAGAGCTCCCTTTTCAGTTATAAGTAGAGCAACTGCAGGGCTATGTTGTTTGGGCACCATGTTTAATATAGGATAAATATAGCTCCAACCAAATAACTTCCAAAATGGTTTATCCAGATGGGATGCCTGGCTCCACCTTTTCTCCTGATATTAAAGTTGTAGTAGTCAGAATAATAGCCCATCTAACCCCGTGGTCACACAGTTTTTACCACTGGAGAAATTACAGGAGAGGTAGAACTTGTGAGAAATTTTAGAGAAAAACACCCTAGACAAGGCCAACAAATAATACGAGGAATAGATCAGTTGGAACAGTGATAAATTGCCAGCAAGTTTAAAAAAATAGTATCCATAGTAATTTCCTTCCAAATATGTGCTACGGCTTTTGTCTTCCTTGATTTTCTGCAGGAGCGTTCAGTCATGCCCTAAAGTATTTGTGCTCAAAATCAAGCACAGTTAAGTGGAATGCCTTAAGTGGATTACAAGCTATTGGAAGGTGAAAATGTGGGGTGAACATTACCACAACAACCCCTTCTTTTTGTGCGACTGATGTTTTTTCTCTTTTCCATGGTAAAAAATGACGAGAAGAATTCAGTCAATTCCTTCTACATGAAATTAATTGCTGCAATCCTAACTAACTGTGACACCAGTAAAACTAGGCTGGGTCCTTCTCTAACAACAACAGCAACCAAAAAAAATCGGATACTGGCATTACATGGGGCCTTATCATTTGTTTTATGTGGAAACAGATTAAATGGAGTTATATTTTGTCGTATTATCCTTGTAACAATAACACTATTTTAGACCAATTCCACTGAATAATGCACTTGTGAAAATTTTGAGTGCAGCTGAAGTAGAACAATGCTTAAATAGGAAACTGTCACTGAGTTAAACTGTTTTGAATGTTTTGTGCTTGAATGATCTTGATATACTGCTTCTCAATATAATACCTAAGTCAATGCAACAAAAGTATCTGTATAATTCATGAAAATGCATGAAACTCTTCTAGTATACTTTGGTCACAATCTCATACTCCATTATATCCCCAATGGCCAGCTGAGAGGAGATCATGAGGAGAAATGTTGTTGCATTTACGTTATATACCACAGGAATTAGTCTGGTTATACCCTGTTACGCTGTTTTACTGGAGCCAAATGTAGCTGCGTTCTTCAGAACTATTATCAGTTTGATCTCATCACCAATGATCCTGGATATATTTTCACTGTTTCATGTATTTGGAATTGTAGTTGAAAAATGTTATGTAACTTTCAGAGATAACTATGCAAATTCTAACCTCTGCAATCTTTTCGGGGAGAAGGGGATTTCAACTGATGTTTTCATTCCAAATAAAGGTAATACTCTTGATCTATTACCCCTGGGTGCAAGGGATCTAATTTGGTACTTATCTACCCTGCTACTATAAACCCCAGCGACTTTACTGGAGTTACATGCTTGTTACAAGCATGGAACTACAGCTTTTGTCTAGTTTGCAAATTATCCAGCATTAGTTATAGATTTCACTCTGGAGGAGATTTGCTCATGAGTTTGACAGAAATCTATCGAAGGCAATGGAAATCTTTTCAGGGGGGCCGGGATGTAGGCACAAGTTCCAGAGTTTAGAATGAGGGCACCAACTCATTTGACATGGATCTACAAGCAGAAGCCCTAACATCTTTCCAGAACTTTGAACCAGATTGGATTTAAATCAAGAGTCTTCGATGTAAGGGTGAAAATACGTTTCTGTTACACTTCAGTTATAATTAAATTCACCAAGAAAATATAAAGAAAATAGATTGAGGCCTACACTATGAAGCTCAAAGCTGTAAATAGTGTTTTTACCATCTGATGAAACTGACTTCTTTGAGGGCAGAAGAAATTATGCTTTATTTACCTAAGTTTTATATAGTAGAGCCATGGGCCATGATTGGGCTTACTACTGCAATAAGAATAATAGATAATTTGTATTGGGCTCAGAGGATAAGACTCCATAAATTAAAGTAGTTTCATATTCTTCAGGTGCTATGGGCTTGAAGATAAGGGCTTATACATAATCACAGACCTTATGTCTGAAAGGATGCCAGGAGATCATCAAGTCTATTCCATTGCCTGAGTTAGGGTAACTGTTCTTGACAGATAGCTGTTCTTAGGGACTTGCAAAAACTGAGCTTCTACAACCTCCCAGCTACCCTATTCCACTATCTACCATAGAAAGATTTTCCTAAGAGTTAAGTTAAATGACCTTGCAGTAATTTTAGCCCATTAACTCTTGTTCTAACTACAAGTGTAATGAAAAAGATTATTTTTCTCTATAGAGACGTTTTACATGATCAAGGACTATTATCACGTGTACCTACCAACTTTTTAAACAAGCTCAGTTTTCAAAGCGTGCCTTAAAACTTTCAGAGTTTCTAGACCTTTGAACACTCCTGTTCTGTGTCCCCGGAACATAATACTCTTAACAAAGCCTTATCAGTGTTGAAACAGGAAGGAACATTTCATATTTCATATTTCCTACAGAGGACATACACATACTCATACATATATGCATAGACTTATGAATACTTTATTTTTTCACAATAATGTGATAATATTGATTCATGTTCCATTTCTAATCCATCATCCTGGGATGCTTGAAAGAAATGTAACCAACCATTCCTTATCCTCTATTTGTGAAGTTGATTACTCCTAATTAAATTTCATTTATATAATTTCATTTTATCATGCTCTACACCTGCTTCAGCTGAGTGGCCTCTTATTTATTTTTTAATTATTTCTCTAATTTATCAAGGTCACTTTGAGTTCTTATTTAGTCCTCAAAACACCTGCAACTATTCCAAGTTTGATATTGTCTGCAAGTTTTATAACCATATTTTCTATTCTTTCATCCAAGTTAATAGTGAATTATTCATTAGGGGATACCTCAAAGAGACTCTTGAGGAACTTGATGCCTCTGTTCAATTGGCAGCAAAAAACTGATAATTCCTATATATGGCTTTCCATACTGTAATATTTTCACTTAGATTCTGCTTGCTTATCGTCGCTAAGAGACTGTCATTAGAAAAATTGGTTTAAAAATCTTTTCAAAATCTATGATATCTGCTGCTTCTTTCCTATACATGAAGCTTTTTATCCTGTCACAGATGAAAATAAGGTTGGTGTGCCATTCCTTATCTTTGATAAATTCATCTGGTTACTAATTTCCTGGGTAGGTGTTTATAAATATATTTAAAAATTACTTTTCCCGTGTTTTTTTCCAAAAATTCATGATAGAATGACTTGTCTCTAGTTCTTTGGTTTTCCCCTTTTTAAAAATAGGCATTACATTTACTGCTTCCTCAGTCATCTGGGGAGTCATTCTTTTCTTCACATTTTCAAAATGAATCTCTAGAGAGTTGGCGAACCCACTCAGTACAGAGAGTAAATTTTATCTAGTGAAAAAAAAAAAGATAAATCATCCAACTAATTCTCATCTTGCTCTTTTCCTATTCTATGTTAGCTCCTCTTTGGAGCTTGTGTTACTTCTCTCTGAAGAATGAAGCACCAAAGACATGTCAAACTTTGGTCCTCTCAGCATCACCTGTTTCTTTCCTTCTTTTGAGTATTGGACCACTTTGTCCTTGCTCTTCTCTTTACATTAATGTACTGATAAAATACTACCTTGTATTTTCCTTGTATGTAATTTTATGCCATGGCTTGAGCTCTAGCATTTTCATGGCTTCAGCTTCATCAGTCTAACAAAATATGTAAAAAAAATAATTTCCATGGAATAATTTGACTTGTAATTAGGCTTGATAATGAGCACTACAAAAAATTAATATTCTGCAGGGGGGAAATTCCCATTAGTAGCTGCTCATTCCTGTTCCATGTTTCCATGTTCTTTAGAAACTTGGAAAGGATAATAAAATAATAAAAAACAAAAATGCTGTGGCCTCCATTATGGTTTTAAGATAGATAGCACACTATTATTTTACAGTCACAACTCTGTAAACTTTAACAATTACAGCTAATCCCCTTTGACCACATCCACTGTATAAGCATGGTTTTCAATACCCAAACCATTTCCAACTCATTATAATTAGAAACATTTTAAATATCAGCTTGAGATGTGCCCTGTAGCCATGCATGTGTTCTCTTTACAGGTCCCAAAGGCTAGAAACATGTTCCCCATAGAAACCAAATATATTTAACTTAAATAAACTGTATTTTTATAGTTTATAAAAGTGATCATTATATAAATGACAAGGCAACAGAAAACTGACTGGCTGTCTCACTTCACACAGAGGGGATATTAAAAATATAAAAGTAAAAAAA